AATGCGGCTAATGATCAAGAAGATTCCTGATGGTTCCACATGCCAATAAGACCCTTTTCTCCTCATTGACACAGAGTAGGACTAACCACAAGGTAACCTTAGGAGGCCGCCTAGATCCCAGTGGTTAGACAAAAACTCAAAAGCATGAACTTGCATGGCCTCATCCACCATTCCTATGTGAAGAATGAAGAAGGGGCCCCAAACCAATAACACGCATAGACCCTGTGGAATCTTAAGCCTTCTCTGGATGGATCAGGTCATTAAATAACATCACATGAGAACCAGTATGTTCTATCAGCATTCTACCTGCAGAGTATCTCTAGCACGAGTCTGGTCAACCTGTAGATCTTGAGATGAAGACCCTCTGTTATTCCATTTGCTACCACCAGTTTGTCTCATTACTTATTTAAATTGTGTAGACCTGTAGTGCCTTCTGGTGGTGTCCGTTAAAGAAGTCCACAATGAGAAAACTGTTATAATCCTGTTACCCTTTAAATGTAGCCCGAAGTAATGAGTAGTTATCAGCCATGTGTGGTTTTTATTTGTACACACAGCTTGCTATCCTTGACTGTATGTCCCACTGCATTAGATCTTTTTTTTTTTCTTCCTTTTTTGGGGGAATTTTTAAATGATTAGAACATAGAGCAAATCAGCACTTATTAGTATTGTGTCAAGGCCGATAGATCAAGAAGTTTGTATATATTAGCGGTTCTAAAGGACTGGGTCAGGACCAAATATTGGGTACACATGGTATATTGAGTCAGAACAGGAACCCTGTATTCATTAGGGTTCAAACAGCTGGTCTCAATAACTCCACTGACGTCCATAATGTAATGAAGGCCACTATCATATTGCATAGAATCTAATTGAGAGGATTTATGGAATTAATGCAGACCACATCTGGTTGGTGGCCGGTGCTTGCTGCCATGATCTGATGCAGGTAGTACGCGCTGCAAGCTTTGATACTGCAGGACTGCCGGGGTAAACTCACACTCACCCCAGGAAGCATACAGGGAAAAAATTCTCAATGGAGTTAGGTTCTTCTATGTTCTGCAGCAGCGTAGCAGTTGCTGCAGTTTTTATGATGTTGAGGCAGCAGGGAGGCCGTTGGGTTGACCACTTGGTCCAGGATACTGTGACACCAGACAGACTCACACCAATGAAGAGTCTGGCCGCTGGTGTGGCGAGTGTGAGACAGGGGTGGATCCAGAACCTAATATCGGGAGGGGCACTGGTAGTGGATTGTACTGAGGTTAAAGGGGCTGTAGAAGGGAGATATGGGGCTGTTGTGGGGAGATGAGGCAGTAATTGGGGAGTTAAGGATTTTAGTAGGGGGCTAGGGCCATAGTTAGACGAGAAGGACTGTAGTGGGCTGATAGGAAATGTAGTGTATGAACAGGAGCTGCTGTGGGGGTTGGAGACTGTAGCAGGATGGTTGGGTGCTATAGTGGTAGCATGGGCAGTAATTAAGGGTTAGGAGTTGTAGTAGGTGGTTTATGGGCTGGATAATGGGAACAGGGGCTCTAGTGGGGGGTAGGGATTGTAGTGGGGGTAGAAACTGTATAAGGGCTGTAGTGGGGGTATAGGATGTAAAAGGGGGTTAGAGTCTGTAGTAGGGGATAAAGGCTGCATACGGGGAATATAGGCTGTAAATGGGGGTAGGGCTATAGTGGGATGATAGGGGCTATAGTGTGTACAGGGAGTGCAGAATTATTAGGCAAGTTGTATTTTTGAGGATTAATTTTATTATTGAACAACAACCATGTTCTCAATGAACCCAAAAAACTCATTAATATCAAAGCTGAATATTTTTGGAAGTAGTTTTTAGTTTGTTTTTAGTTATAGCTATGTTAGGGGGATATCTGTGTGTGCAGGTGACTATTACTGTGCATAATTATTAGGCAACTTAACAAAAAACAAATATATACCCATTTCAATTATTTATTATTACCAGTGAAACCAATATAACATCTCAACATTCACAAATATACATTTCTGACATTCAAAAACAAAACAAAAACAAATCAGTGACCAATATAGCCACCTTTCTTTGCAAGGACACTCAAAAGCCTGCCATCCATGGATTCTGTCAGTGTTTTGATCTGTTCACCATCAACATTGCGTGCAGCAGCAACCACAGCCTCCCAGACACTGTTCAGAGAGGTGTACTGTTTTCCCTCCTTGTAAATCTCACATTTGATGATGGACCACAGGTTCTCAATGGGGTTCAGATCAGGTGAACAAGGAGGCCATGTCATTAGATTTTCTTCTTTTATACCCTTTCTTGCCAGCCACGCTGTGGAGTACTTGGACGCGTGTGATGGAGCATTGTCCTGCATGAAAATCATGTTTTTCTTGAAGGATGCAGACTTCTTCCTGTACCACTGCTTGAAGAAGGTGTCTTCCAGGAACTGGCAGTAGGACTGGGAGTTGAGCTTGACTCCATCCTCAACCCGAAAAGGCCCCACAAGCTCATCTTTGATGATACCAGCCCAAACCAGTACTCCACCTCCACCTTGCTGGCGTCTGAGTCGGACTGGAGCTCTCTGCCCTTTACCAATCCAGCCACGGGCCCATCCATCTGGCCCATCAAGACTCACTCTCATTTCATCAGTCCATAAAACCTTAGAAAAATCAGTCTTGAGATATTTCTTGGCCCAGTCTTGACGTTTCAGCTTGTGTGTCTTGTTCAGTGGTGGTCGTCTTTCAGCCTTTCTTACCTTGGCCATGTCTCTGAGTATTGCACACCTTGTGCTTTTGGCACTCCAGTGATGTTGCAGCTCTGAAATATGGCCAAACTGGTGGCAAGTGGCATCGTGGCAGCTGCACGCTTGACTTTTCTCAGTTCATGGGCAGTTATTTTGCGCCTTGGTTTTTCCACACGCTTCTTGCGACCCTGTTGACTATTTTGAATGAAACGCTTGATTGTTCGATGATCACGCTTCAGAAGCTTTGCAATTTTAAGAGTGCTGCATCCCTCTGCAAGATATCTCACTATTTTTGACTTTTCTGAGCCTGTCAAGTCCTTCTTTTGACCCATTTTGCCAAAGGAAAGGAAGTTGCCTAATAATTATGCACACCTGATATAGGGTGTTGATGTCATTAGACCACACCCCTTCTCATTACAGAGATGCACATCACCTAATATGCTTAATTGGTAGTAGGCTTTCGAGCCTATACAGCTTGGAGTAAGACAACATGCATAAAGAGGATGATGTGGTCAAAATACTCATTTGCCTAATAATTCTGCACTCCCTGTATATATGAGCTGTAGAAGGGGGGTGGGGGATTTAGTGGGGGTAGGGGATTTAGTGGGGGGGATATAGGCTGCATTTGGGAGATAGGGACTGTAGTAGGGGGATAAGGTTTCAGTAGTGGTGATAAAATCCAGTTGGGGCATAGGGACTGAAGTAAGGGGGATAGGGATTGTAGTAGTGATAGGGGCTGTAGTGGGGTTATAAGGGCTTTAGGAAGGGGTTTGGGGCTTTAGTGGGGTTAGGGGCTGTAGTTGGGCATAGGGGATAAGGGATGAAGATTTTTTTTAAAATTTTGTTCCCCACTCCTTGAGACTTACTTAGAGCAAAAGGGGGTCCTGGTCCCTGGTGGTTCGGTGGGAGATGTGCTGCTTTGTCTGCACCTCAGTGGGTGCAGGCAGCTCTTTCCACCCACTACTAGGGAAAGTATGCCTTTGGCTCTTATACTATATGAGGAGGAGGGATTCAGGCCAAATTCTCCCTCCTACTCCATGGAGCCTGGCAGGTGGAGGACACACATCTCTCCATTCTCCAGATTGTGAGGAATGTTCATATGTGGTAGATTGTGACCAATCCATTACAGTGGATGATGGACAACACTGTCACTGTCTGTCCAACATTTTAGGAGGAGTGAACTTCAAGTGAAGGCTGCTCCTCCAGAACTGGTGAGTGACAAATGAGTCACTTCCACTTCCTGGTACAGTAGCCAGTCTCCATTTTTAAATTTTCACTCACCCACTCGCTCACTCAAAAAGCATTGTTGTTCTAATTCTTAAAGCAAATTTTTTATTTTAATTTAACTTTTAGTTTCCCATGGTGAGTCTTCCTGTGCCAGACTGTGCTGGTTCCCTTTGAGTGTCCCTTTAAGGGTTGAGATAATAATTTACTTGCCCATAGTAGAAATGAAATACGTGGTTGTAGAGGTCATGGACAGGTAAGCCCATCTCTACACGACTCCCTGCAAGAATTCTACAATGTTTCGTCCTCCGGCTAGCATAGCCTAGACTGCTTTATGTGGACTGAGGACAAATATTTCTCTGTGGCTTTTGTCTTCCTCAGATTCCTCTTTTTCCACTTGTTTTGCTCTTTTCTTATTTTTTTTTACTGCTGAACTGCTACAATCATATTCCTTTCTGATGTTATGTTTTTTCCCCCTTAATACTGTGACAGACTGTCTATATTTTATCATATTAAATAAAAATCTAAATTAAAGAATTTAAAATGAAACAAAACATGAGGTGCGGAGCCTTACCGTGGACCGGAGTGGTCGCCATTTTTTCTTGCTCCGGAGGCCACTACTCAAAACTGCCCAAAATCATGAGCCCTGCAGAACATCTATAGGTGGGATTGCCCGAACCTACCTACTGACACTTCAAGGAACTGATCCATATCAATATGCCGCGCATCAGCCAACCCGTGTAACCCAGACCTGCAAACACAGATACTGGAGCCTGATCCCACAGTTAGCCCAGCTGCAACGGCCTACCTCTACCTCCTACCATACCTGATTGCTGGTGGATTCCTTTCCTGTATGGCAAAATGGGCAAAAAAGCTTAACGGAGACCCGGGGCCTGCTCCAGCCTACAGAACCTGGTCACCTCACCACTGAGCTCTGACTTGTTTCTTGAGAACCCGGCAATATATCAAAGGGACACACAGCACCAGGCTAGCAGTAACCATAAGATGGGCCGGAGAACACAGAAAACACCTGCAGGTACAAGCTGAGATACACAAGACATGGGCACCATGCTATTACGCCCTGCGGCACACAGCATGGCTTACATACCTGACTCTGAAGTGGGCTCCACATGCTCTGATATTCAGCAGGGAAAGCGCATGGACTCCCAAACACAAACAGCCACCTCGGTGGAGACAGTACTCAGAGATGCTCAAGCACCTGCAACAAAGCAGGACATTCAAGAACTTCTACTTAACATGCCAATCTCTCCTCATCCTCACTGTAGTATGGGGGCAAAACACCCTATGATTTTGAGTCCGCACATCTGTTTTTCTTTCAGAACTTGATCGGCCCAATCACTCGCCAATTACGGAATGCAGGAATTGACTATCGGTGGTCGACACCTAGATCACTGACTGTCACCAAGGATGGCTCCACTTTGCGGCTGACCTCTCTAAGTGAGGCACCTACATTCCTACAAGCCCTGGGACTTCCATATACACCAACGACCCCAGCGCCCACACCCTCCCAACATTCTTGGGACCCTGAGAACCCTTTGTTCCTAGGAATAAAAGTAGAACAGAGAGAATAACTTGAACCCCTCAATACTGTCACGCATGACATTATCTTATTGCATTTTGTTGTTAATATTTTCGTTTAACGTTTTATGTTATCTTCTTCTATCACTCAACACCAGGGTTTTTCTCTAACCACGAAAGGGCTTAGCGCTCCCCTGAACATAACTTCCCCCCCCCCCGTGACCTCATAGTTTAGGGGCCAACTTATTTAGCTAGCTCACACACGCTACATACCCTAAGTACGATACATACCGTGAGACACTCAAGGCACGTCTCCAATCGACTTTAAAATCACAGCACAGTGACCAACATACCGTTATCACACCTGTGCACGTGATGCCCACACCACACAGTTCAGACAACACTGACACATCATAGTACAGGGAATTAGCTTGATATTCAAATATTTTTATTGGTTTTTTTTTTACCATATCTACTTACACATACTAGACCAGGAGTTCACCACTCATTACTTAGCTACTCCACGACACGTAGGTTCGAGAAAGGAAGCGAAACCTCACTGCTATGTCGCAGCTTATATATACCAATCTTTGTTCCATGGTGTATACCTGCCTTATCCTTGTTTATCCCTTTCCTCCTTCTCTTAAATTGTTCATGCTTACACAAAAAAAAAAAAAATTAGGCATGCTTTTTCTATGTCATGACATGTCTAGTACTATTGATTGTTAATGCCTTTATATTATTGTATCTCTGCTACCAACATGTCTCAATAAAAAGAGAATTAAAAAAAAAAAAGCAAAATCAATAGGAATTTATAACTATGCAGCTAGAGAATTCTGCATGCCAGCAGTGGTTGGATATCAGGTGAAACGTACTACTTTTGCAATATTAGTAAGGGCTCATTTAAAATAGTGTCACTACTTTTTAGTGACGCTACTGTTAGCGAGTGGCAGCTGTTTACCAACTGCCAAATTGTTAAAGGGGCACTATAGGCACCCAGACCACTTCAGCCACTAGAGGGACTTCTGGGTTGTTAGACGACTATTGGTTGCCTAACTGATGCTGGACATCCTCACGCTATGCATTGAATAATACTTTCCTGTGGGGAAATCCTAATGCGAGCACGGCCATTGGCATTGGCGGGGAGGGCGGAGGTGGACCTGAGCCAGCACCAAGGAGCATTGCAGGTAAGTGACAGAAGGGTTTTTTAACCCTATCTGCACCAGGAAGTGGGGGAGTAGGGGGCGGCTTAACAGATAGTGCCAGGAAAACGAGTTTGTGGAAAAAATATCTCTAAATCAGCTATGTTTTCCCTTCAGCTACCTTGGCCTTAAATTTGAAATTCACTTTAATTTCACCTTGAAGTCTCCCTTTACTGAAAATATCCCTGCCAGTTGGCACAGTCGTGGTGTCATGAGCTTAGCAAATTGGTCTCAATCAATCAAGTGCGTCAATGAGCGATCTCTGTACATGAAATGGCCATTGAGCTCGATATTGGATAGAACTAGATTTCTACATAGATAGGATGGGCTAATGTCTCTCATTGCTCCTTTCTGTGTGTCTATTGCTAGTAAAACTTGATTGATGGAATGGGCCCCGACCCGTGCAAGTTACCAATTAACCATACGCAGGTGGAGCAGCTCCCCCAATTAGCTGTGCATTTAGCACAATTTACCATGATGAAGATATTTAACTGTTCCAATACTAGAATTGCATATAATGAACGATTCTAAAACACCAAATAGATAGTGTAATAGCTTTAACGCCCCAGGGTGTGTAGTGTCATTTTCATTTTCACACAAGGGCCCAATTTGCAGAAAATTATATTCTTCTGTCTGAGGAATGCCTGGAATAATGTATCTTATGTGGCTAAATCTTAGTTCTTTGTCTCTCTTCAAAAACAAATTCTGAAAAGGCTTACCTTAAGAAGTATCCCTGTTACCACAGCAAACGCAAAAGATGCAACAGAGTGGGATATGGTAATAGCATTTTCACTTTATAATTCTGCGTTTATGTATGTTTTAAACATGTAATATTTGTTCTTATTGTATTCTCCGTCATAAATAAAGAGAAAAATTGATACATTTTGGCAACGTTAAAGTGGCACTGTCACTCAATTAGTATTTCATAGACATAGAATATTTATGAAATACTCATATTGACTGTGTTGCAATTTCACTGAAATTCCAACCCAGTCAAGAGATATACTGAGACATAGTAGGGATTACTTTGTCTCAGTATGTTTCCTATGTCTGACACTTCTAGACACTGGGCAGGGCTATCGCCATCTGGAAGTGTCAATCGCCCCAGACATCACCAGTGATGACTGCAGGGAGGATCCCGTGCTCTTGCGGGATCGTCCATAGACCTCGATGCTGTATTCTTGCGAATGTCATCGTTTGGGGTCTTTGCAAATTCAACAAACCATACTATAATTACCATATCACTGCCCCAGGCAGCTAGGCACAAGTTATATTTGCATCAGAAAAGATACACCAATGTTCAATAACTAAAATCCAAACTGTGGATAAATGAAAATTAACCTACAAAGTCAACGATAACATAATTAAACTGTCACTGTAGCTGAATTGGACATTTGTTTTTACAAATCAACACATTTTGCCTAAATGCTGACATTCGGTTTTCAGATCAGAACTATCTACTGCTTAGTGAATAAACATCCAATATGTTTAAACTAGGGCAGAAGTAGGCTCCAGGTGTTGCCGACTACATCTCCCATAATGCTGTAACAGCTATAATGCTGGCAAAGTATCAGGGGAGATTTAGTCTACAACGTCCGGAACACCGAAGGTTGCCTACTTTGTGATAGGGGAAAACAAGCATGGTGCTTAAAGCAGGAATCTCAAACTTTGACCCCACAACTCTAAGAATTCTTTGAAGGCAATCCCTTTAACATTGGTAAACTTGACAATGATAGTTTCACGAGAACCAGGGTACAGGCTAGTAAAATATATTTTAAAGAACAACAAAAAAAAACAATATTAAAGTTTCCTTAGAAAATGTGTCTCATATGGACTAAAACTGCATTAGATTTTAGCAAATCCTCCTCCCCTCACCCTTGTCTGTATCATTGGTCTTAGGAATGATAACCTGTCATTCTCTGCTGCTCGAGTTTTGATGTAATAAGCCACCCAAAAAACACTTAGTAAAAAAAAGAGAGAATTTCATTTATGGCACGTCAGAATGTTCTAATTTTCTGGTATCTACTCTCTGGATAATGTGACAGCTTGGAGAGGGGAACAGCGTCTAAGCTTCCTTGTAAAAACCCATTAGAGGCCTTTTAAATAAATCTCATAAATGCCCCGTTTTGATGGGCTGGGAGGATTATGAAGCTTTCTCCCATGATGCAGAGAGTAGCCAGTGGCAAAGACAAGACCTAATGGGCCAAACATTTCGCAAGTCAAGAATCATAAATATCAAAATAATGACCCTAAAAATACATAGATAATGTAAAATAATGTTATAGTATATACAGATGTGCAGGAGCGGAAAACCAAACAAAAACGATGCAAGAATTTGTATATCAAGATCATAAGGAACATCATGGAGAAGTCACAGGATTCACAAACAGTTTAATAAAATAGCAAATATACTTATAAATTCTTTCTTCCCGTCTGTCAGTCACTGATACTATATATATTAAGGTCATATTTAGGCAAACACTGTCGTACCGTGACTGGGAGAGGAGTTTACAGAAGTTATCTGTAAAATTGGTAAGTTACAAGACCCCTACCAATTATCAGAAATATGCGGAATATCAGCTCTAATAATCGGCAGAACCGATAATCGGTCTATCCCTAATCCATATGTATGAGTAATTTCACAGTCAAGTGAATGAGAAAATGACAAAACCAATAACACAGATCTAAGTCCAGCAGGATTTGACTTGGGAGTCAGGTTCTCAGCTCAATTTGTTACATAATAAAAAATAAATGAAACTTGTCAAGTTGCTACCAAGTTCATCTGTCCACAGACTTTCCATGGATTCCAAAAAGGGCTATTTTATTTTGTATACTGAGTACAGGTGAATTGAAAATCACATTAAATTAGGAGAGGCCTTTTCATTAATTTCAAGAATGACTCCAATTCAACAAATTAGGACTAAACTTTGCAGATTGGTTTTCAATTCAAGACAACTCACTATTTGTCTTATGAAGCCCGTAGATTGGCTGAGCTTGGTAACTTGAGGCTGGCTGAGAGTCTTAAGAATTGTAATTTAAAAACATCTTGTGTGCCAAGGTTCATTATTAGTGCTTTTAGACTGTCAAAACATCAGGGTAGTTGTGGTTTTACAACTGCTGGGCATCTGAATTCTTAGCATCACTGTCCAAAATGATCCACAAGGGTATATCAGCTTAGATAGAACAGTTCTGGGCTGGAAAGATATAAAATTTGTGAAAATTAACCAAAAAGATATCAAATGTGAATTTCAATTCATTTACAACCAAAAGATCAACTCTACTATTTCAGAATGCCCTTATACTTACAAAGAATGCAGTAAAATATGTTAGTGTGCCATTTTGTATTTACACCAAACTCAGCTGGTCCTCTTCTCAGTACGATCCAGAGCCTCAGTCATGTGGAATCTACAGCCCGAGGCCTGGAGTTTGTTTTGGGCAGGAAGTTTTTTTGTTTTTGGTTCCATTTTAACAACAAACAGTGTGCGGTATTGTGCATGTCAGCCATTAACACAATTGTTCTCCCTGTGGAATGTTAAAAATGATTTTTAAATGGTCTCGTTAAGAGTAAAAAATCGTTAGCAACCACAAGTGGGATATTTCTGTGAGAACCTGTCACTTGTTCTTCTAATCACACCTTTCAAATTCTTAGAGAAAAAAGTGGACCTTTCATTAAAAAAATACAATTTTATAAATGGAAGGAGCAAAGAAAACCTTCTTTGTGCCAAACAACTTGACCTGAGATATTTTGTATTTATTTTTTTTGTTAATCATTGACCACCGTGGCTTTATGAGTCTAATAAGTATCACGTGGCAGCATCAGTGCGAGTTGAGTAGACACTGATAATTCATGGCGATAATTCACAGCTGATTTTTAATGTTGGCTGTTATAGCCATTTCTAAAAGACGAACAAACAAATTAATTAGAAACAGAAGAAATTAAACCGCTATTGAAAACTTTTTTAAAAAATTGAAAAAATTTAAATTAAAAAAAAATCAGACAAATCACAGCAAAGTAACAAGTTCACCATTAAAAAATGATGAGAAACATGGAAAGAAGGAGGTATTTGAAGAGCGAAAGAAAAAAATAGAAATCTAGAGGGAAAAAGATATAGAGATGAAGAAAGAGAGAGACAGAGAAAAAGAGAGAAGTTTAGAGGGACAGAAAGAAAGAGAAAAGAGGTAGAAAATTGGACAATGAGGGATGGATAGAATAGAGAAAATAGTGGATACTTTGATACATATACACACTACAAACACACATTAACAAAAAAAAATCTAAAATTTTTCTGTAACGCATGTCAAGTTATAAATAGGTTTAATATCGAGAATGCCCACATAATGGTTGTTGAGGAGAGGAACAAGATAAAGGTATTGGTCCACGAATAAGATTTACGATTCCTCCTGCAAATTCATGGACATCAGACCAGCATGGTGTGAAATGTTTATACAAGCTCACTCATCAGCTGAGTATATTAACAGCGGATATGGGACAGAGAGCTTGTTCAGGGAGGTTTTGTTAGAGTGTGTACAGTGTACTTTAATCGTGGCTAGATTTTTACTATAGTGATGTACAAACCTTGGCACTACAGAGGTTTAGACCAGTTCAATATCATGGGAAATGTATTCTACAAACATTTGTGGATCCTCGAGTGTTAGTTATGATAAGAGTTGAGCATCGTGAAAAAATTTGGTTTATCCAGAAATGTTTTTATTTGTTTGGACAGACTGAATTTCATCTTTGGCAGAACTCCAGTATGTGACCACAGTATCTTCACCAAGTATCTCTCTTTTTCCCGGGGAGCATCCAGTGACATAGCCACCCACCCAAACATCATTCGAAAATTGAAGAAGGGTGAAAACAAGAATTCTTTATATAGTTACAGTGCACATATTTATACACAGTTTTTGGTTCTTTGGCTAACTCTATTAATCATGCATATAGTAAGACCAAACCTCCTTTTGTGTATACGGTATTTATTAGGTGAATATAACCCCATAATTTTCTCAAAAAGTGGGAAGATTTATTTTCCTACCTTTATTTTAATGAGAAAATTCACAAATTGGACAACCAGCTCCGTTTAAAACTTTTGTGTTCCCTTTATGCTGTATTAACTTCATATTTAATGGATTGTGTGAAGAATATTTCAATTTCAATGTCTGTTACACAAAACCTCTTCTATTTAGCCCAAATCTCATCCATGTTTTATTAGACAATTTTTAAATGTCTTTCTCATTGTGTCGCCAGTATAGAAATTTATTTGACAGGTGAATAATGAGTCAGGAAGAGGGATGTTGCAAGTTGAAAAAAAAAAAATCAAATAATAAGTAATTAAAATAATTTTTTTAAGTAATAAAACATGTTTTTTCCATTCAAGAAACAACTATGTTTAAAAAAAAAAAATTAAAATAATATTAATAATAATGTACACTTCAAGCCATCTCTCAAGCCACCATGGCAAATGACAACTTATCGTAATATTGTAATTTCACTTCTCGTTTTATAAAACTTTATTATATTTAATGAAACAATTATTATTATTTTTTGAAATGATGTAGTTTTACTTTTTTTGGCGAGAATGTAATTTTATCTCGCTGATCAGCCATCTTGGTCCAGAATCTACTGTTTTCTGACCAACTGCTGCTAAACCTAACTTTCCTGCTGTTGTGATTACTCTGTGGGAAACTGCAGTAGCCGGCATGTTAGGTTGAGCAGCAATTGGTCAGATAACAGTAGAATCCGACCCAACATGGTTGAACAAGCAGATGAATAAAGTGACATTTTTCCCCCAAATAAATAAAAAAAATAATTTTAAAATAAGTGCATTAAGTTTCATTAAATTAACAAAAAACGATAAATTGAAATTTGATGAAAGATATTCTTTAACGTTGCATATCAGCCGACGTTTAGGCAGGATATTGAAGAAGATTCTGTCTAATGTATAATGTAGATGAGAATATGATGTTGTGGGCAGAACAGTAGGTTAAGATACATTTCTTATTAATTAACTTTGGCGCAGTTGGTTGGCTCAAATTGTTGAATTAGGTGGTTTAGCCTTGAATAAGTTCGGGCCTTTTGGTGGCCTTGGAAGAGTGAACTTTGTATTTTGTAGGTGTCCTGCTTTCTAACTTGTCTTTAGGGTAACTGGAATCAAACCTAATCTTGGAGTTCAGGTACCTGTAGTTTAATATCTAATCAAGGCACAAAATAGGATTAACCATAAGGCAAGATTAGATAACCACCTAAGGCTCGGGGTTTAATAGGGTCCTCAGAACCCTGACTTTGCTCAGCCCCATTCACCATCCCTGTGTAAAGAATGAAGGATGACCCCAAACCAGTAACCTTCTTAGAGCCCTGTAGGATCTTAATTCTTTTCTGATAGGGTTTATGAGATTGGTTCATCCACATCCAGTTTACCTGTCAGGGGTCAAGACAGGAAGAAAAGGACTAACAATGAGGTCACAGTCAATTGGGTTCATAGTCAATGTCCCAAGGTCAAATATCAATACATAGAATATCTAAACTTGATGTAACACATTAAACATGTAGGAGATCTGCAGTTTAGATCGGGGGCTTCTGCAAAGGCAGTCACATTATTACATCCATCTCTCCTTGTGGATACCTAAAACTCTGCGTACCCTCTGCTCTCCATTCCACTAAAACCTGTCTGAAAATAATTGCAAGTACAATCGGTGAGACCCTTCCCTACTCTCTACCTTTTTTTACAATAGGGTTACCTGTCTGATTAATGGGGGATCCCAACACACCCATTTATTTATTTTTTTATTTTTTTAATTCTTTATTTTGTTATGCAAAAAAGATCACAAATTGGCTTGCACTGCTACAACAGCGTGTGTGAGCCCAAAATTGGTATACATTTGAAAACAAGCACATAGCAGGTGAGGAACATTGCACATTTTTTTTTTTTTTTTTTGTAAATATAAACATAGCTAGGTAGCGGGGCATACATGGACATCAGTGTAAGCATTGATATTGAGTGCCAGAGGTGTGCGGGCGGAGTACTGTTGTAGTGAAAGTGGGTCTAGTTTTGGATGTCCTGTTAAACCTCTATTGAGAGACCATGGGTCCTAATCTTTGTCCGCTCCTTGTCGTGTTAATTTGAGTGTTTTATTGGGGCCCCGTGAGTTACATTCCTGTGGTTTACTTGCTCCATAGAGCATTAGGTAGTCACCTAGTTTGGACCTTGAGCTCTAACCAAAGAGAAATTGTTAAAAAGTCACCTATCTGCAGGTAACTGTGTTCCCTACCGGGTGCTGGTGGATAAGTTCGTATAGTGGTTCCCTTGCGGAGGTATGGTAGGGGAGGTATGTGTGGTCCGATTGGGAGATACTGGGTCTGAGGGTTATGAGCGGATTAGTACTCGAGTATTTTCAAGGTAGTGTGATAACTAGTCGGTGGGGACTTGGCGACAGTTACTGGTGAAACAGCGCCATGCGGTTATGTTAGTGCTTTTAAGAAACTTAAACCATTAAAATAAAACAAGTAGAAAAACATTAAAGCTGAGGAACTAGAGAAAGTTATCATAGAAGCCTGGTGGGCAACAAACAGTCCGGCACAGCAGTTGGACATCCATGCGGGTATACCATCTCTGGCTCGGTCTTCTCGTTGGCGTTCAGGTCGGCATCGCATTCAGGGTTGGTCTTGGAGTAAAGACCGCAATATTTGCAGGGTTGATGTGGAGCAGAGTCCCGCTTGCCCCATTCGGGTTGGCGGTAAGACTAAGAGAACGCAGGTGCGCTTCTAATTCTTGTAGGCTCCGTGCCTTGTAGGTAGTC